TTGTTCACATGGAGAATCGGGAGGTCCGGGACCCTGTCTGATGGGGAGAGGTCGGTGGTAACTCGTCTGGCAGGGACTTTTGGGTATCTCGCGTCTGAATATACTGGTAATATGTGGTTGATTTTGCTGAGTCCTTTTTAAATTGGTATTGTGAATCAGAAAATCAATAAAAGAGATTATTTCGGCAAGCCTGGACACATGTTCAGGTCTTCTAACTTCTGTTAAGTTGCACCAATTTTCTTACCTGTTAGAGCATGCATAACTGATTCAATTAGTAAGAATGAGTTGTTTAATTTATGAATTGTGCGACTAACATCTTATGCAAAATGCACAAGAATCCAACTATGTAACCCTTCCTATAATCTGAACAGAGATGTTCCATCTGAAAGAAAACTTGAAGCTTTTTTCTTGTTCTCTTGAAATGATTTTGAACATCTTACTTTATAACTATTACCATAAATTGCTTAGACATTTGCTCTTTGTCGACTCGTCTCTGAAAATTTATCTGCATGCCTTTNCTTTGATCTTTATACTTGTCTTGTTACATTTTCTTTTTTAATGTGAGTGTGTCCTAAATGATTCGTAAAGAAATGCATTATCTAATCATGTTGCTTCCTATTTCAAGTTATGGGCAAAATCCCAACAAAAGTGGACGTGTTCAGCTTCGGGGTTGTCATAATGGAGCTGCTAACTGGCATGATGGCCCTCGGGCTCGAGGAAAGCCAGTATCTGGTCCCTACTTATGGCAAGTGAAATCGAGTGTGGACAAGCTGTGGGGATCCATTGACACACCCCTGGATGTCAAGGACGAAGCCCGCGAAAGCGTGTCCATCTTGGCCAACCTCGCGGGCCACTGCACAGCTCGACCAAATGGTGGAAGACTGGCAAGAGGCTGAGGGCAAGAACGTGAGTGAGCTACGTGGACCTCGATGATCTGTCGGGTTTGTCGAGTCCTTTACTTTGGTCGATGGCCGTTAGGATGGGTACTTTACATCAGTAGGATAATGATACAAATATAAGCGCAATTACTAATAAGAAAACATAAAGCTCTCAAATGTGTAGATATGGAACACCACCGAGAATGCTCTCAAATGTGGCTGAAGAATGATTCTTTGAAGGTCTACTTCCGAGCAGATA